CTTCTCTCTCTTGAATGCGCTTCTGGTTAGCTGAGTGTTGAGGAACTTGGCTACTCTCTCTGTTCAGGGTATTGTCCACTACATGCCGTCACTTATAATAGCTCAGCTGGGATATATAGAAAACAAATCTTTTTTTCTCTTCGGACTCAACGGAGGTTCGCAGCCATTGATGGGATCATTAGGTTTGATTGTGTTGATTCACCGCTTCTCTATCATCTTGTACCGTGATCAACGAAGAAATATCTTTCGAACAATATCATTTATCACTAATTTTGTGAACATCGTCTTCCCATCTTACATCCTATACTATTTCACTGTGAGTTATGATTCTGAGTTAGCAGCGCAACATCTTCTACAAGTAAGTACTCAATATGGTTTGTCACTATCTAGCTCTTAGGATTGTCCACACTTCTTTCCAATACTGTCATATGAGTTTGTCTATATGTATCATCCGAGGACTACGGAAATTGTGATGTTTTTGTTAACCTTCTATATCAGCTTCAATATGATCTGGTTTACCTGCCTGTTGCAATTCTGTTTGAGGAAATTCAGAGAAAAGACAGGAAATTTTTCGGAAACGACAAGAAAAATACAAACTCGACTCATGATCAACATGGCTTTGACAATTTCGTACGCTAACGATTTTCCAGCCTAACTCACATTTTTAAACTTTCAGAATTCCATTTTTCTTACATATAACGCCTGCATGTATACTTTCTGTGTTTTTAGCGGCTAAAACTCAGATAACCATATGTAAGAGGACTATTTTCATGGAAACGTCAAGTATTCTCTTTCAGCGATACCAACAGTGCTTTGGTACATGAGTGAAATGCATCCAATTCTGAACTGTGTAGCATCCATCTCACTCAACGAGCACTACTTGAAAAAGTTTAAAAATGGTCGATTTTTATAGTTATTGAACATGCTCATTCCGTTCTTACAGATCTTCGACTCGTCTCCGAATAGTTTTGAAATGAATACGTTTCTTCTAACCTTTGAATTCCAATGTGATTGCTTCTGTTTTCGAAGCTCTTTTTTCTGCTTTTACAATCCTCAAGGCAACTTTAAAATGCTGTTTTTGTCAATGAAACTGTTCTTCTACGTCTACTTGTATTCTTGGAATTGATCAATCGTAGCAATTGGAAGGGAGCAAGAGAAACTACATTCTTGTTTTTTCATTGCGAAATAATTCGAGATCGGAAAACTCTACAGATTATTCTGAAACTTCCTCAGTCTACCCTTTCTTGATGGTTTCATGTCCAGAAAAGTATGAGCCTCCACCTACATGGTTGCCCGTTGCATCCGATGCAGTACTAGCAATCACAATCCCAGCATCCATTTACGTCTTCTACTTGATTGTTGTTGTTACTCCTCCTCATACGGATCAAGAATTCAAAATATATTTCCTTTCTTATCATGTGTTGACAACAACCTTTTCTATTTTGAACGCTCTTCTGGTTAGTTGCATGTTGAGGAAAGTGGCTACTCTCTCTGTTCAGGGCATTGTTCACTACATGCCGTCACTTATAATAGCTCAGCTTGGTTATCTAGGAAACAAATCTTTTTTTCTCTTTGGACTCAACGTAGCTGCACAAGGATTGATGGGATCGTTAGGCTTGTTTGTGTTGATTCACCGCTTTTCCATTATCTTATACCGTGATCAACGAAAAAACATCTTCCGGACAATTTTATTTATCACTAGTTCTGTGAACATCGCTCTTCCTTCTTACCTTGTATACTACTTCACTGTGAGTTATGATTCTGAGTTAGCGTCGCGATATCTTCTACGAGTAAGTACTCAATATGGTTTGTCACTATCTAGCTCTTAGGACTGTCCACACTTCTTTCCAATACTGTCATATGAGTTTCTGTATGTGTATCATCCTAGGATAACGGATGCTGTGATGTTCACTTTACTCTTCTTTCCGAGTTTCAACGCTCTGTGGTTTACTTGCCTGTTACAATTCTGTTTAAGAAAATTCAGAGAAAAGACAAAATTCTGTTCGGAAGCGACAAGAAAAATACAATCTCGCCTTATGATCAACTTGGGTTTAGCCATTTTGTAAGTTCATACCTTCATGGACAAAATAGTTTGGCACCCTATTCACGCCTTGAGAAAAAAAATTTAAAAGTTAGAAGGATGCCAAACTATTATGTCTACGAGTGTATGTGTATGATCGTTCAACATCACTCAAATCTTCATACTTTAGCATTCCATTACTTGCTCATGGATTACCGGCAGTCATAGCTGCTCTGCTAATGAAGAAATTTTCCAAGCTTGAAATATGTTAGAGGCTCATGTTTTGATCATTAAGACAAGCTTTCAGATATACCAACCATAGTTTGTTACGTGAGTTCAATGCATTCAATTCTGAACTGTATGGCGTTCATCTTACTCAACGAGCACTACTTGAGAAAATTGAAAAATGGTTGTTTCGTATATTTATTGTGCATCCTCAGTGTGTTCCTGCAGATCTTCGAGTCGTCTACTGTATGCCTTTTAAAAAAATATGCTCCCGACTGAAGGTTTCTAATGAAATCACCCTTGTTATCTAAGCTCAGAATTATTTTTTTTCGCTCTCTACGACCGCTGTCAAAAACTGCGATCATCAATGAAACTCCGAATATACATTTTCCTTTCATTCTACTACTGAGCGGTTGTTTTTGGGGAGGAGGTAGAAGACTTGTCGTGTCTTCTAAGTTTATATCATCTAATGCTCCCGCAGTTGTAAAATTCATGTCAAAAACTGAAACAACAAACAGCACATGCGTTGGCAAGAAAACTAATCTCTCAACACCAGATGACTCAGCGCTATGCACTATCGGTCTTCCCCGAGAAAGTACGAACTTCAATGGTCATTCACTATCTATTGTTTTTCATTTGTGTCATTGACAGTTTTGAAGCTTTAGAGATATCAATTCATTCCCGGAGATGTCTCCTGCGATAAAAAAAAGAAAAAGAAGTTTTCTCCCTTTGCCGAAAAGATCACTGGAAATGTATGCTCGGCAAGCTTGGAGCGTCTCCATTGAAGGGAAACTATAGGAGGTATCATCTTATTCATTCCGCACCTCAGGTTGACATTGGCATCGTCTTTGAGATCAAAACAGATGATTAAAACGATCACAAGATACATCGTGATAACAATTGTGAAACAGCTGTCATTGAACAGAACTATTTTTATTTCTTAACACTGATCCCTTCAACGTGTGCAGTGATCGAGCTCATTCATTCTTCCATCCTCTCTCTACTGCTTCATTCCAGATATGAAACTAACTCTGCTTATAACTCTGTGCTTTGTCAGTACATCTTTTGCCTTAGAGCTCTTTGGACGGGATCAATCATGCGCGGTTTGATTTGATTTTCTTCTATCATTTCTATTATAAATAACTTTAGGTAAGAGGAAAATTGGTGTGCGACAGTAAGCCAGCCGTTGGTGTTAAAGTGAAACTTTGGGACGAAGATGATAGTTCGTTTGGAAGAAAATCACTACAGTTATTAAATAATTTTACAGCTGATTCTGATGATCTATTGGATGAGTCAAGAACAGATTCCAACGGTGAATTCCATTTAGCTGGTTGGACAAAGGAATACACTCCAATCGATCCTAAGCTCAACATCTATCATGACTGCAACGACATGCTGGTATGCAATTTTGTGTTTTGAATATAATACAGAATAGTTATAGCCATGCCAACGCAAATTCACTATCAAAATTGAAAACAAATACATCAGCGATGGTAAGAATCCCAGATCTGTCTACGATGCGGGTGTTATTCAATTGGCTGGCGTCTACCCAGGGGAGAGTCGTGATTGCATTAACTAAACAAAAGCATACAAACTAACCATTCTTTTACTGAATACAAAATAAATTAAGAAGAAAAAATAGAAACTCATATTCTTATATACTACACATAGCAACTGTTGATAAACTCAACAAAGAAATATTGAAAAACCTGATGAAAAGAGGCATGCAGACACGCATCATCATCATCATCAGACTCACATGAGCATTCATTCGATGCTCATTTGTGTTGAAGAGCAAACGTTTCTTCAAAAATTAAGTTTTTTTTCTCTTCCAAAAACTTCTCTTTCTATTATTGGCTGAAAACATAAGAGTAAGTATTGAGGAGCAGCTTAATTGGCCATAAATGGCGACTACCCTTTGGTTGGTTGAAGAGTCCTCCAGACAACCACTGCCGCTTCGCTGCTTTCTATTTTCTTGTTTCAACTTTTTTTAACTTCTGATATACATATATTACAAAATATTTTTAATACTTCCACCTGCTACAACATCAAATCAAGACTATACGAAATCTGCAGCGATGAGCTAAACTTCATGAATTTTCGAACAAATTGCATCAAGTGGGATGCTGTGCAAGAGAATTTCGACTAATAAGGTAGTTGACTGATGTGTAGGAACTCTTGAGAAACTCACTTTAAGCAATTCGTGAAAAGCAACGTTTTTCAAGAATGAATCATAAAGCTCAAACATGATTTAAGCTCATTTGGTGTTGTGTGTGTTGGTGTGCTTTTCTCTGACAAATTCCATTTCATCTTTCAGTCATCATGACTGACTAGAAGAAGAAGGCAATATGTCTAAAGGCCCTTAATTATATATTGAATGAAGCTCATTGCATTCAATAATAATTGGACTTTGATGATATGAGGTGTCGGCGACATTTCTTCATAAGCTCTGTCTGTCCTTCATCGACTTCTCTTCTATCTTCAGCTCACTTAATTTCTGTATCCTTCAATGTTTCCAGTTCGTTCGCATATCGTTTCTTCTAGTTTACGCTCAAGCTAATGAGAAATATTATTGACACATTATGCTCATCTCGTTTTCGGTTAGCATTGACTCTTACACTCATCACACCAATATGTTTTCAGGCCGACCCGGCCTTCGACCTTTAAAACCGTCTTCCACTCCTTTTAACCTTATCCATCACTTTGTCGGCAACTATAATATATCTTTAACTATTACATATAAGTATTATAACTGTTTTGTAATTATATGCTCATGGCAATACGTCTGCTAATGAGACAGTGAGCAACCATTCTGGACATCTAACCTATCTCTCTACCTCCCTCTATCTCCTCCTACCTTCCCCCCCCTATCAACTTTCTAAACAAATTACTTTCACAATAACAGGACTATGCATTCATCGTTGACTTGTTTGACACATCTTCTATGTATTGTTGCCACATCTTCTTTTCACTTCATTTTTGCTCAAACAGATATCTGTATGTATGTGTTTCATCATGCTCTTCTTATGTTAAGTGAATAAACGTTCGCAAACCGTGTGCATAACCTGATGAAATGAAGATGAAGAGCATGAAAAGTGAGAAGACATGGTACTTCAACTCCTGCTCATGTTCTCTTGAATGAATCCAGACAACTCCATCTGGCTTGCTGCCAACAAATACGAATATCTAACTTTGATGTAAGCTAGTTTTCTTGCAAAAATTAAAGACTTGTGACTTGAATGAATCAGATTTTGGCCTAACTTACAGCAACGATGTTTCACTTCATGTTCTTCCCTACACATGATGTCTTTAGCTTCATGTTTCATACTGGCTCTCTCTCTCTCTATCTCTTCTCTCCTCTAAAGACGTTTAGCATTTGCGACAACCAAAAATGGATTTAAAGTCTTAACATATCAATTTTGAATGTGCATTATTTTGAAATCTTTTTCTTTGAACATTCCTTAAACACATATATATATATATATATAGTTTGTTTCATATAGTTCATTCGATAGAAGACACAGATGACCGTTTTCTCACCCTATTTGGCTATTAATCCCATCTATGCGCGCTTCAGTTCATTCCGCACATATGCATTGTCCAGCTTTGTAACGGTTTTTTGATTTACCTTCCTATCAAGATATTGTTGAACTGCTGTTGAATATGTGATGGAATTAGATGAAAGAGTGTAAATAAGCAGAAAAGCTATGTCAACACTACTACCTTGTCTTCCTATATATGGTAACAGTGCTCGAATATGCTACTTCATCCTTTTATGTTAATTCATATCATCTTAGCTATCTACTACTACTTCTTCTTCTTCTTCGTTCATCATCTTCATCTTCTTTGCCGTTCCACTTTTAATATATAAAATATATTACTCTGTCATTACATTTTGCTTATTGAAACAAATGAACACAGTTTGGATATCTCATCCAAGGCCAGATGTGACTCTACAAAAGTGTTTGGAGATGTTCCAGCCGCCGCCTGCTCAATAATTCTCAGCACTTTGTCAACGTCATCATCATCGTTTAGAAACGTTTACCGCCTTTTTGTTTTTCTTATTTAAAATCATTTCGTGGGACAATACGACATTTGAATAAAATAAGTCATTCTATTGACTATTGAGAGAAACCCATTGATGTCCGCAATGAGGTTTTGGGCGAATACAAGGTAGCACATCTTCGCCCACCTCTAATACTCTTCATTATGGTCATCTCAAGTCTTTTGTTCAATTGAATTACGACAGCTCATCCTTTTTTAGTCTGTCTCGCCTTTTTATCTTCTTTTCGACAACAATCTGTAACTGTTGCCATTACTCAATCATAAGTCAGTCAACACACTGCCGACGTTCTATTGATCGTCTTATCGAAGACACGATCATCAGTCGGAATCCTTAGTACTAGACATCATCCAAGATTTGCATCTCGTTTCTCGGTCAGTTATAGTGCCTAGAGCTTGATCTATTATTGACTTCTGCTCAGTTATGTCCTCGTTATGCTTATCAAACGCTTATTCCCATATTTGAGCATAATTAATTAATAATTGCGAAGCGTCTGCCACTCATCAATGCTTTGCACACGGAAATGCAGAAGCTCAATTGAGTTTACTGTTCCTATTAATTAGACTAATTATGACTGTCAATGTTTTTTTAGTACCACTTGCTCAGACACTTGATGAGATCTGTTGTTTTTCTGTTTATACTCCATCCTTATGTTTGCCAACAAATATCGTTTTTAGCTTAACATATTATCAATTCACTGTGTATACAAGGAGAATGGCTGTATGTCAGTAACTCAATCCCATCTTCACACCTCAGCCCTCATCTATTGTTTCGCAATTATTAATTATCTTATAGCCTTTTTCGGAAATTCTGTTCGTATCTCACGGCTACATATCTCACTTGACCTGAGAATATGGTTAGCCATGTTTGACCTGTAACTTCATGTATTTAGCCTTCCGTCTACTTAGGCTTATAGTCATCATGGTATGTCGGCATCTTATTCATCCAAACAACTACAAAGAGAGAGTGAGAGAGCAGTTATGAAGCGAAAAGGCATAGATAACACCTCCAGACACAAAATTGCTTCAATGCTCAATTGTTGATGAAAATAAAACAGAAAAATCTCGTTCATTGACTTTCCAATCTATTTCTTTGTACATATTCGTTTTTCGTTTCTCGATTTGTTCGAGAAGCAAGCTTAACTAATGTGAGAATATGAGAGGATTTAAGATGTGTAGAGTCCCTCCAAAGATCTTTCAGCATTACATACTCCGACTGATCCTTTTTGCCATTTGTGACTATGACATGCTTTTTTCCATTTTTCAAAGCCAACTACTAATCATTTGTAAGAGCAAAATGAAATCAACAAAAAAAAACGTTCCAGAGTCTATTAATCACGTTTTTGCTATTTTCAATCATCAACATTGAGCAAGGCATGAGTTTGTTCGGACATTTCCATCCGGTTCTTGCTTCCTGTCGTTGTTAATACTACTAATCTCTTTGACGAGAATCTTGTCAGTCTCCTGTAGCAATACGTCATTATCGAACAATTTTCTGTTATTTTCTTCAATAAAACTGTTCATCAAAGATTGAAACTTATGCTTCTTCATTCACATCTCGTTAACTATGCCAATTCACATGTTTTACCAATTCACAGCCTTAGTCACGGGAAGATAGATACCTGGGAAAATTACGTGAACTCCCAAGACTTTTCAGGCTCTGGGACTGGAAATTATCCCGTAGCTTACTTCTCATGATCGTTTTTTTCTCATCACACTACTGTTCATAATTATTGTCGTATTTGCTATATAAGGGTCTTCAAGTATCAGTATCATCATCAGTCGTCCTTTCAGACAGACTAAGCTCATCATGAGTGCTATCTTCTACTTCCTTCTTACTATCGCCTTCGTCTCTTCTGATAAAACTTTCTGGATCACCACTGAACTTCAAAGTGTGGATTGGGAAGATCGTTGTCAAAACTTCTGTTCGAAGCCAGCTTTTCAAGTGAGTTTTCTTTTCTTTTTCTGTCTTGAGCATTGAACTCTGAGTATTCTCTGAATCATATTTCTAATCCTTTGTCTTTTGCAGGTCGAAGAACTTCTTCTGCCTCATATGGACACTATCACCCATAGATGGAAAGCTGAGCCTCATACTAGTATCCATCGCACCGTCTCTAGATGGCAATATGGAAACTCCGATGATTTGGCCATGTCCTTTTCTGTATTCGGAATCGATCCTTTAACTTCTGCTCCTCGCCGATGCGGAGAAACCGAAGCAATTCGTGTTTTCCCCACCAAACAAGTTGCAATGATCCGTCCAAGACGCCACGAAGGATCAATTGCTCACCAACTTAGTGATAGCAACAAACGTCTCGTTGAGGTAAACAATTCAAATTCTCAACATTTTCTAATTTTCTATCTTCAGCTCCGCGGTAACTGCTTCAATGCTACCTTGCTCGTTGAGAAACACCTTGAAAAGTGCCCAGATTGTCCCGACACGGACAAACTTCGTCAATTAGAAGAGCAATCTTCTGTTTTCACTGGATTCCTCGCTAAAATGGAAGAGCGTGAGAGACTTCTTCTTATTGCCATTGCCGCTTGCGGATTATTGGCTATTCTCTCTTTTGTTAGCTTGGTCATTCTCTTACTTCGCAATCGCAACAGTAAGACCAGCTCTCAATCCTCATCTGGACCATCTCCCTACTACTATCCTCAATATATTCCTGAAGATTTGCCAAAAATCACTTCTCCAGCTCGTTATGATGTTCCATGGCGCAGCTCCCCCTTCCTCACTATCAGCAATGCTTCTACAACCCGTCGAGCTGACACTGTTGTCACTGAGTATGAAGAAATTAGTCCAAACACCAGCATTGGTACTAATGATTCAGGCCTTATTGTCTAATTCTTTATCTTTCTTCTAATTTTCTTATAGTTGTTATATAGTTTTGTTTTTTTTCTTTATTTCTTTGTCATATGGCTTGGTTCATCCACCTTCATCTCATCTCTTCGTGTTTCTCCAACGGGTCTCTTGTACATACCACTGACAGATTTCTATTTCATAACTATACCAATATCAAAAAAAATAAAAACTTAATAATTTTATAAGTTTGAGATATATATAAACACAATGAAAGAAACATATGTACGATAGGTATCACACACATTAGCGTATCACAAATGATTAGAAGATATTCTGGATAATCATATCTCTTTCTTTAAAGATCAACTAAAGTGAAAAGAGTAATGATAAAATCAAATATTTTGTTGAAAAATTAACCTTCTAGGAGGTGCCCGTCAGCAAATATTGAATGATTAGAGTCTCGAAACAGGAGGTATATGTACAAACTCATCGATTTCATCTGGAATCCAATATAGAAAAGCTATCCAGTATACGAGATTGAACAGAATGTACAAAGCTGGGAAGATAACTTTCGATACATTATCGATTCTATTAACAACCTTAAATATTCAATATGTATATAAAATATGAGATAAACATCAAACTTTGGCTGGATCGCGCATTTTCAGCTTCTGTCGGGCACGCGCAGCTTTGACAGCCATCCGATAAAACACTGAAACATAAGCAGACTGCTTTAAATTATCTGACATATGAACTATACTTGAGCTTTGTTGCGGATTGGACTTTGACAGCAATCGTCTATACCATGGTCGATTATCCTGTGGCAGGGCTAAAGCTTCAACCTAAAAAAACATTTTTTTTCTTTTTTTCCAACCCTGCAATTCTGACCTGTAGTGTATCTCTTCGTGCGCCCATCAAACCAGCTGTAAACATTCTCATTTTTTCCATCTGTAATACGATGTATAATAGTAAAAAAAAAATTTAATCATTACTGCAGTATTCGAATCAAGTCCCTTGAGATCGTGCACTTGCTTCCTTATATAGACTATATGGGCATAATTAATAACAGCATACTCAACCATAGCGGCGAAAGCAAATCCAAAACAAGCCCTGAAGATATTAAATTGAAGAATGAAGAAAAGACAAACAAACTCACAAAATATAAATATCTAAGGCTGTCGAATGCGAAACTTTAGGAAGATCTGTTCGTAATCCGAAACCTAGAGTAGACATAGAGAGCACAGTCATTATGCCTAATAAGCGTTTCATGAGTGATATGGATGGACTACGAACATACCTAATGCAACGCGAGCCGGCGAAGCTTCTTTGTTAATCCAGAAACTAACCCATGACATCACTACTAACAACGTACAAGGTGTATAGATTTGTAGCACGTAATACCCTTGTTGCCTCTGTAGCTTGAAATACACTTTCAGAACAGAAGCATCTGAATGACATGAGTAAGTATATTCAATCAAGCTTTGATCAACTACCTTTATCCGGATAACGATAATCCGACATGTTATGTTCAGATTTATAGAGACCGATAATTTTGTATTGAGAGAGCATGTTACCCATCTTGGCATCTAGCTCCACATCTTTCCAATTGTAAATGATGTCTTTTGTGAAATAACCAAGTGAGCCAATTTCTATCGGACATGCCTGACAAGTTCTTTGTTTCACATAATGAATTAGAAGTATTACTTGACTATCCATAGGGAATTTCCGTAGATACATGTGACAGCGTGTACGAATCGTTAACCTTCAATGCTCTCGTTTACCATTTTGTTATAACATGACCATTACCTCTGTGACACGTGAACTTGTCCATCAGATCTTACACGGAAAAGGATATTGGGGACTGTAAGCGTATGTAGATATGATTGCCGTCCATTTCTTACATATGTATCAGGCATCTGAACAATGATTATGGAAATCTTTGAAGAATCTTCCGCTTACCCATATATCTTTGAGCATTTTACTAGCTAACGGTATTTCATCTTTATCAGGATTTATAGGTTTGAAAGCTAATCGAGTATCTAACCATTTTTGACGGAAGTAACAATCCAATGAGAATTCCTGTAAACAAATCAATCAATAATCATATGAGCAGTGTGATATGCAACCGCTATGGCTGAAAACAGATTTCGAAATGCCAAGCGGTGAATACGTGAACACGTTTTCCGTGAAATTAGAAAATTAGAACATAATCAGGAAAGCATGCTTCTGTTTACGTATTAATGAGGGAAGAAAGTAAAATGATGAATTCTTTACGACAATATCTAAGCAATGAAACGGCCAACTATGTTATTCAAACGGTCAGAAGCATATGTCTTTCAGAACCCTCTATAAAGCTTCTTTATTACTTCAAGTTTAATCAGACTTTTCATTTTTCATAGAATTGTATGCATTGAGAAATTGTTAATATAGTTTTAGTGAGAAGCACAACATTCATTAAAATTCATGTTCTTTTGGGCTAATGCTGAAGTCATCGTTATCGTTGTTGTATCTCGTTTGCTCATTCACATGGTCAACTATCCAAAACGTATTACTTACGAAGAAGAAAAAGAAAAATACTAGACGAAACATAAGAATGATAAACATTTCCTATTCTTCTTCCTTCTTTTCTTTTGCTCTTCCTTAGTAGTATTACAGATGGAAGACAACAGAAACTATATACGGCAAGACAAGTCAAAGCTGTCAGTTGTTCAGCCATTCATAGCATCAGAATTTTGATTGCTCGTTCTTTCATCTATGAAATACAAAAATATGTTTGAAGATTCATGAGCAAAAACAAATGTTAGGTACAACTCTCATAACCTCTCAACTTCCTAAGTCTACATCTCTCTCTCTATCTTCATTCTCATTGTCATTCTCTCTTTCTCTCTTTTAACAGGCATATGTCCTTTTGTCTGTCGTGCTAGCTTCTATAAGCCGTGTCAAAAATGTTGTTTTTCTCAATTTCCTAATCATCCGCTCTACTTCTTGACATTGACGAATTATTGAATGAGGAAGCATACCATATTCTGTTCAGAAATAGGTCCCATACTTCTAACACTAATATCTATTTCCACACGTAAAGGAGATCCATCTGAAAAGAATGATAGAAGCAAGAATTACTCTTCCTCAATGCAAATATTCCTACCTGGATTCTGTGGACGAAAATTCTTGTCCTGATTCAGAAGAATCGTATTAAGGAGCTTTGTTGTATACCTGATTAAGGTGGTGTTGTAGGTTGATCTGAATACAACCGTGCTTAACCTTTTCAGAGAAGAGGCTAGCCATACCTGTTATTACGGAACGCTGTTACATTTTGTGATTGGACGGCCGTTGATAGAGATAGAATCAGAACGAATAACATCCGACGATCAAATCTGAAACAACAAACGTGAACAGTAACAATCGATTTGCGAATACGAAGAAATGAATAGAAGAAGACTGAATGACAATGAACGTAAACGGCTTAAGTTAGAGCATAGCAAGGTTGTCGAATTGAGAAGACAATCGTCTAACAAGATTGGTTTTCTATCTCTTTGAAATGCCCTGAGGGCATGATTGAGTACGACTTCATTGGCCATTTGAAGACATTTTCGACATCGCCAACTCGAACGTATACGGATGGTGTGGTGTGTGTGAGTTGAGGACAAAAAAAAAGAAACATCTCTTCTAACCTAATTCGTAGTAACAAAAAAAAAGTAGAAAAAGAGTTTAAAATGGATATGTGTAGAGCTTGCATGACACAAAGTACTGAACAAGAAGTTGTTTCTCTCATTTCCAACAGGACAGAAGAAGAGAGAGAGAAAAAAAAAAGCAACTGAGAGTAAATGAAACTGAATAAAAAGTAATGACGGAACATCTGAAAACAATAAAATGGATGGAAATTTGCTTGTCTACTATCCACTTAGAGAACATCCAAGAATACTTTTTTTGCCATCATAAATGTGATTAATTAAATGCTACGAAAATGGGCAATTTTGAATTTTTGATTGAATGAGTAAGACTTGCGAGAGATGATAAGACATCAGCTGAACATGAGAGAGAATCGAGTACATGATTAGATTGGAGAGGAGCAAGAGAGGCAGAGAAAGAGAGAAAGGATTCACAAATTCTCCGAACGGTAATTAACATTCATGAAAACTCTTGTAAACTATTTAAGAGGTTTTTGTTCAAACTTTTTTTTCACAGAAGATCATTTATCTACGCTGGCTGTGAGACAGCGAACTCACATACCAACTCCGCTGGTCTTCTTCAAGAAAAAAAAGTTTTTGAATAAGAAAGAAAAAAAAGGAAAATAAATGAGTTTGAGCTACGCTCTTGGTCAGATAACATTTCAACTTTTCCTTAGTCAAAGAACACAAAGTGCTTTTTGTCTATAAAGATAGCTGCATATTCTAAATCTCAGTTCCTAATTTGTGTTATTTAGGAGAACTGCACAACCGCTCACTAATTGCAAGCAAAATGAAAATGGGATTGTCATCAGTACAGGTGTATGAATTCATCCTGCACTATGGGTGACGTTAACATGAATAGCTTGGAAGGTAAGAATGGTTATTTCGTTATCGAATTCTTCAACAACTCGCTCATCCCCCCTTTCTGTTGAGAGCAAAAAAAGAATAAGAGGGAGAGAGAGATATATATAAAGAGAGAGAGAGAGAGGATGAGTAAGGAAGAGAAGTCTTCAGAATAACTGTGAAGGAAATAAGATTTTACGTCTAAACTGCCAAAGTTCAGTAAAAGAATATGAGGAGATCACAAAGGACATCTTTCTTTGCTCTCAATCATAAGAAGCAATTCGTATTTGAAATCAACTGGACAAAGCTTGAAGGAAAAGCAGAAAACGATGTGAATAAATTGAAAGTACGTAGACTTTTGAGGAAAATAATTTACTTTTTTTTTCTTCTAAGAAAATATTAGTTTTGGATGTTCTTTACGATTTGCCATGAAATGGAATAATCACAAAATAGTTTGTGAGAGAAGCGAAGCAGCAGGAGACGAAGAAGAAAAAAAAAGATGTCAGAGGTAGTCAGGAGAATAGAGAGGGAGAGATTGAGAGAGAGAGTTAGAGAAACAAAGAAACAAAAATGGTTTTCAGCTGATGCTATGTTGGCAGAAGAGAATGAAGAAGAATGAATGGAATATTACTAAATAGGAAAATAACAAGTGTTGAATCACATTGGATGTCAAGTATGTTTTTGTTTCTTTTTCATCCATTACATCAATGAAATTGGAGTTGTGATGTAGAAGCAGCTATGCCAAGGACAAAGCTTTCAAACAGCATACCAAATCGTTTGGTGACACTATTTGACCCACTCAAATGGCCGGAGACCATGAGCCGATTTGCCCCGAGGGGGTAAAAGTGGAAAAGAAAATTGACAGACAAAAAAAAGCGCATAGATAGCAATCTGTGAAACAATCATCACCTTCATAACAGAATGAAATGATGAATGAACGAATCATCGAGGAGTTAGAGAGTTTGTAGTTCAAATGCCCTTTCAAGCAGGTTTTCCAGGTCTCAGCATTGAAGCTGAGTAGTAGTAAAGATAGTAAATGCGATAAAGCCTACTCAAAAGAATCGAAAACCCAAGCAAATCTTTGAAGAAGCTGCTAAAGCTATTGCAAATGACCTGACCCATGTTTGAATCCCAGATTAGCTTGAACGGAAACATTAGAAATGGAAGATCAGCCAAGAAGCCGAGAAATACAATTTCCGCTCGGTCGTTTATCTTCTACAATCAAGAAAATGAATGAGCTGATTGAAAGTTGTCAATAATTGAGCCATGTCTGATCAGAAGATGCAAATCCGTTAAGCGGAAATGCTTAACTGACGAAGAAGGCTAGGATATTCTCTTCAAATGATTTTGAAGAGAAAAAGGGCGATGAAGGGGAGAAAGGAGGAAGAAGTTAGGATGAAGAACATCATCTTTTGGAAGCAACAATTTAACGGATCAAATAGGTTGAATGTCGAGAGAAAGATGAAATTCACAAGTTACAGCTAGGACGAAAAGATAATTTGCATATAAAGCCATCCACGGGCGGACTGGATGAAAACTTCCGTTGATCAGAGGCAATGTCCATTCTTCAATGTTTTTCAATGGCAAGACCTGCACTTTCGAGAAAAAAAAGAGTGAAAAGACGTTACGACACACGTCTTCGACTATCAAGATTCCCTTTTCTTCCGTAGCTCTCTTTCTCAATGAGCTCCGCCTATTTTTAAACGAAAAGCTCCGCCTTCCTCATGTTGCGATCATCATCATCCTCATCATCGTTGTCGACGACGTCCTCATACTTCTTGAGGAAGAACTCAAAACGATAAAGCCCATACAGATAAAAAGAGTTCGAGAGGAAGGAAAAGAGATAGAGAGATAGAAAAAGAGAGAGAGAGAGAGGGAGAGAGAGAGATGAAGATGAGTTGAAGAAAAGCTAACCACGCCCACTTGCTTTGCCATTGACTCTTCAGCGAGTTCGCTAGACATATATCCAATATATGCCCTCGTATGCTATCCACATAGCTTCATTTTTTATCCTTATATAGAATATATCCTTTTGTCTATTTGTATTCTTAAAAGCTTTATGGTGCCGTTTGAGCTTTGACAAATTCATTTTCTCATCAAGTCATTCATGGACGATTGTCTTTGCTTGGAATCAGTTGATACCCCGAGCACAACGTCTTCCATTCATCTTCTTTGCTTTGAATCTTTCTTAAAGTTGCAATAAACAACCTATGAAAACTTTCTCTTCTATTTTTCTATTTCAACTATCATCTTTCAGGTTTTTGTGATTGTAAGTTATGCGATCAAGGCTTTATGGTAGATTCAGACAGTCGTTCTTCTGGTTTTCCATCACAAGCCTCCTTTTCTCCATCACATTTAGTAGAGGGTAAGCTTCTTTAGCCTTATGAATGAAAGAGAAAACGGAAGGAAAAGATTTTTTTGTTGTTTAAATCTTTAAAGGTAATGCTTAACTTCAAGAGCGTACCGAAAGGGTAAGAGAGGAGTGAGATAGGAAGAGACAGGAAGAGAGTCGCAGCGAGAGAGCGGTTCATAGCTGACAGTTAGAGAAGGAGAAGCAGAGATGAGCTCTGTTACTTTTTGTGAATCTCAGGATTGCAACAAAACGACATAAAAACACTCAAATTTTAAAAAGAAGCAGATGTTTTTAGGTTCACACTGATCATAAAATTCTAATTGAGCATTTGGGTGTGTAGAGTATCTTGCCCTGAATTTCAATTTATAGATCGGCAGCAGATCGCGTAGAAGCATTAACTCAACGACATGCCGTTGAAGTATTATCAAATGAGACAATAGCTGAGCCAGAAAACTCCTATTCAAATGCAAGTGCACTGTTGGGCCAATTACTATCTGATTATGATATACGCTTACGTCCAGGCTTTGGAGGTATGTTCATGCTAACTTGAAGTAGATAGTAACTTTGTGAATCGTAAGTGGTTGATCATCATCATCATTATCATAATTTTCATATTCTTTTGATATTACCTTAGTTGGGCAAGCTGCAAATTAGTTTGACTGAGACGAATTCATTGAATCTCTTAGTATCCAATTTCGTTGCCTCTTATAGAATTTACTTGTCTTGATTGTTTTCCAATTGACTGACGGGGGGAGCATATCAAACAAGCCTTCTCTCATCCATTTTGTAACATTTCCATTCATTTATTCAGATTTTGTCCGTAATGGAAAAGAAAGATGAATAAGAAAAGTTATTTCTTTTCAACATGAAAATGCCTCATAATTCTGCTTTTCGACACTAACAGACGTTTGTTCCCTCAGGGCAAAAGATGAAATCGAATGAGATATTGACATCAGCAGCTTAGACATTGCTATGCATTCATATGATTTGAACGTTCATAAGTATAGCAATATCATATCTTATCAAGTAATTAACTTAAAGAAGAAGCAATCTTCTTCATTCCACAAATAGACTTTAGCGGACCACACGCACTACAACCTTCTCTCTCTATCTCTCTTTGTTCATAAATATTCCGCTTCATTTAGTTTTTAAGAGAGTACTAAAACCGTTTGAACCATTCAACTTGTCCACAATTCATAGCCCATTCTTCTTGTTCTTTAACAGAATTTTTAAATTAACTTTTCGTTTTGTGAATATTTTAATTTCGACTCACGCCACGTGTGAGAGTACATGATCAGACACGTGAAGCTTCAATTTCATTGCTAAATGCAGAGAAACGGTGAACGGTTGTAGTAAAATGGCAGAAAAAGTGGATGAGCACTAAAAGAGAGCTGGATGAACAGAGATAGCAGGAATGAGGAGGTGGATGGTAGCAGAAGCTGATATCTCCCTTGCTCCATTCTCCCTCCCGTACTCCTTTTGCATTCATTAAAGGAGACAAGAAAAAACAAGAAATTTATTGTTTTTACAAAGAATATCTTATTCTTTCTTTTAATACATTTTCAAACATATTTACATAAGGTTATGCATGGCTGTTGGAGGAGAGGAGAGGGAAAAGTGAAAAACCCCTTTCATCCACGTCGAATACATATCAAACGCTTATACAGTCATCAGCCTTGACTTTCAACTAAGCCCCTTCTTTCAATTACTAAATGAATGTAATCAACTCCTGACCGAAATATAATCAAACGTTTTCCCTTATTTGTGTGTTCTTACAAAGGAGAACAAAACACACACGGAAAAAAAAGAGGGAAAAAAGCAGTCAGATGAGTGAACTGCTGATGCTGTGGGGGTAGAGGATATGCAATCACGGAACATCTGATTTCTTCCTCATATTCAGCTTATATCGCATATGGAACAATATTATTGTTCCATATTATGGATATTGAAATGTTGAGAGTGAGAGAACGAGTGATGCAAGATGGCGGCCCGTTCAAGGCATACGCTCAGCTTTTTTTCTGATTTTCTCATTTATCAGCCTTTTTAAATAAGTTTTGAATCTATCATCTCCACCACGAACATAGATTTTGAATCTGAACTCTTCACACACGCATACATAGAGCCACTTCATGAGCTATTCCTTCTTATGACAGCTTAGAGAAGCAAAAGTCTGTTGAGGGTGTATAAGTTTGAAGGAGCTGCAATCAGTCTCCTGGGAAGAAGCAGCTTTTATACATCTACATATATATATAGAAATATATATATAGAATATGTATATATATGTATATAGAGTGTGTGAAGTGTCATCACTAACCTTTTGACTGGTTAGCCATTTGCATGTTTGCTGTTGTACATCCAGCAGCAGTAGCAGCAGCAGAAGCTTACATCTTTGACCATTGGTAGTGAGCAAAGCAACAGAAACGAGATGACTTTGAACTTTTCTTTGCTTTTCCGACTCATTAAGGGTCTGTTATTCAAGATGAATTGTCTTTCAGAGTGAATAGGATAGATATTTCACTCTGTTTCGCAAAGAAAACAATATTTTATTTTTCCTCATTCAAGAAGGTTTACACGGAAATCCGGTGGGGTGCAGATGAATTGCAACACCCCCGTCAAACAGATTCGTTTTCATCTTCCGCTAATGGCAAGATGAGACCTTCACTTCAACTCAGGATGGTCTAGTAGATATAAAAATAGAATATGAAAACCAATGGAAGAATAAAAATAGAAAAATATGATAGAACCTTAAGTGATTCATAATTTTGACGATTTTGCAGGTGATGCGCTTCTGCTTACCATGGACATCATCATTGCATCATTCGATGCAATCTCAGAAGTTGATATGGTTAGCTACAAAATAAATCTCGAAGATTTATTCCCTTCTTTTCAGGATTATACAATAACTATGTACTTGCATCAGTATTGGACAGATGAACGTTTATCCTGGAGCTCATCAATCCCAATCGATGAGATGACACTCTCCGGTGAATTCAGCCAGTGAGTTCAGATCAGTTTCAGAGAGCTTTGATATGAAAGACGAAAAAACGGATGCAAGCACACACACTATCTCACTTTGAACTGAATGATTTTTATAAAACATCTGCTTTGAAGCTAGAGTGTTACAGACACATCTGGGTTCCGGATACCTTCCTGGCCAATGACAAACATTCGTTCATACATGAGGTCACAGAAAGGAATAAAATGTTACGAATTAGTGGAGATGGTAAAGTCGCATATGGAATGAGGTAGTTATCACATCAACAACCATCATGAACAGAGAAATCTTGTTAGATTGACATCAACACTCAGTTGCTCAATGAATTTACGCAACTTCCCTCTAGACTCTCAGAATTGTACGGTAGAAATTGAATCTTGTAAGCTACAAAACATATCAGCTTTTGCAACAAAACTGTTTTACAGATGGCTACACAACTTCAGAGGTGTTGATGAAATGGAATCATCCATTAGCTGTTCATGGTGTTGAACAAGCTGATGTCCCTCAATTCACAATAACAGGATATCAAACAGAAGATAGTATTGTGAGCACAGCAACAGGTTCGTTGTGCTCGCACAGAGAAACATCATAGTTTGAAGATAAAACAAGAAAACTCACTTGCTCGGTTTAGGTTCCTATCAACGTCTTTCGTTGGTTTTCCAACTGCAGCGGTCCGTTGGGTACTTCATCTTCCAAACATATTTGCCTTGTGTTTTAATTGTTATGTTATCATGGGTATCATTCTGGATTAACCATGAAGCTACAAGTGCTCGAGTAGCTTTAGGTGATGAGACCAATCCGAACTAGTGATCTAAAGAATCAAATAATATTTGTAGGAATCACGACAGTTCTTACAATGACTACGATTTCAACGGGTGTCAGACAATCCTTACCCAGGATTAGTTATGTAAAAAGTATTGATATTTACTTGGTTAGAAATCTTTTTCATTTGCATCATTCTAACAATCGCTTGTTGAAGGTTATGTGCTTCGTTTTTGTTTTTGCGGCTCTTCTGGAATATGCCGCTGTAAACTACTCTTATTGGGGAAGAAAATCTCAGAGATGCAATGAAGAGGGGTTTGAACGAATATCACCATTCCCAAGCTTACCTTCTTCATCATTCAGATGGCCTGTCAATGGGCATAATGCCGATGATAGTGAAGGAAGAGTTAATGTGAAGAATTGGGGAGTTCCAAGCAGTTTCATTGATGTATGCTGTACTAACGATGTCTTGTACTGTCAACATGTAATTCCAGGAGCTGCATCAAACGGGTTTAGATCCTAGAGCCCAGGATCTGGAACAAGCCAATTCAGTACGTCATAGGATAAGATCTACAAGTCCAATTCCATCTCTAAGATCGTCTCGGCAGAACCAGGTGAGAGAAAAATAGTTATAAACATCATTAAAAGTGAAAATGAATATTAGATTGATGATACTCCCGAGTATCCCCGATATACCACTCAAACCTCACAAGCGGCTCGCCCACGATCAGGGGTTGTTGTTCGGTCTGTTTGAGCATATTTAAAGATTATAAAACATATTTTTAGAACTAAAAGACGTTTTGCAAAAGCAAAGAAGAGAACAGCAACTGTAAAAGCTTCAATTCATAGAATTGGTAAACGTGCAAGAAAAGCCATACCAAAAATTCGTGTACGGGATGTGAATGTCATAGACAAATATTCACGAAGTGTCTTCCCGCTCTGCTTCATTGTATTCAAGTAAGAATTCTAGAAGATGTGAAAGATAATCATCAAATGATAATCATTTCAGCATTTTCTATTGGGGATACTACTCCATGATGCAGTCATAAGAAAACGTGTAAAGAGAGTTTATATAATAATAATACAATATATAAGTGATATAATACTGAATAAGGCACGAAATAAATATTTTGATGAATATGATTATTCTCTTCAAATGATATTCGATATGACACTAAGATGTTCATATGTATGAGCTTGTTCATGTTTCTCTTAATTCTGAACCTGGGAAATAAGCGAATGGGAACTTCCTGCAGCAGCCTTCATCGACAGGCTTTTGACGAATCAAAACTAATGTGAACAGCATTGCCGTAACTATTAGAGCAATCTGATGTGACCAAGTTATATCTTCAAATCTTCCAAATATGTAGAAAAATGATTTCCAACAGCCTGAATCGGCTGGACAATAGAATCGCCCACGCTTCGCTTGAAACCTAAAACATTAAACTAAAGTAGAAGTTGAAGCACTTTTCTAATAACCTGCTGAGAGGACTTGATGTCTTCAATGGTATAAACGCAATTTTTTTCTTGACGGCAACACGATTTGATGGCCTAACAGCTGACCATATTAATCTGAAGTTTGACTTTTTGAAAGAAGAGAAGAACTTACAAACATACTTGTTCAATACTCCTTTAATAGATCCCTGATGGAACGTGAAGAGATAATGCGATTCGAGTGGTAATAGACAATCTTCAGAACTCAAGGATGGTGAAGACGTGGAATGTCTGAAATTCGGTCAGCAAAAGGATCAAGTCTCGAAACTCACTCCAAATATGGTACTTTACAAGAACCACAATTACATATAACACTCGGTTGAAGATTTCTCCACCACTCCAGAAGTTGGTATTGAATAGAAGAACAATTCTAAACGAGTTAATAGAACAGAAACTTATCTTCTCATTTGCATACCTTTTGTTCAGTGGCGTATAAGCATGTATTAGAACTGTTCATACCAAAACGGGCCCTCAACGTGCCTTTGATACAGCTTCCATTGTCATCTGACCAGACAACATCTTATTTAGCGATTTCTCTACTTAGAACAAACCTTCAACTATCGTATTGATTGTGTTGCTCATTGAAACGAAGTCATGAGATTCATAGCAAGGATGTTCAACATCGGCATCAGGTTCTACTGCATGTAACTTCTGTTCAACGATCTCGCCAAGCTTAAATACAAAGCTAAGATAGTAAGTTCAGCAGATACTTACATCTTCATCGACTAACTCTATGAGTGTACTTGTTTTCCTAAAGTATACATTACCAACTATGTTAAGACATCTGTCGTCTCTTATTGTACTGAAAAAAGAATCAGATCGTCAAATTCACAGAGACAGAGAATACATACGCGTTAGCGCACAGAACCTCCTGGTTTGCTTTGACGCATCTTGTGAGGTTATTGGAACCTTTCCAATATCCATAGGAATATTGGCCATCCAAGCGACAATGGTGTTTGGAAACTTCTGAGAAACAGGTATTACCATCACCAAGTAAGGAGTGGCAATGTAGAGTAAACTTGCTACAAGGATGATATGTTATCGTAGATGAGAGAAAAGATTAAATTGAACCTAAATCTATTTTGGCTAAAGATTTCAGAAGAACCAAAATCGGTTTCCCTCTCCAACACAGGATGTGTGGCATTGGTTAAGTCATAAAACTGTGCATGAACAAAATTTGGGAATCCTCCAACAACTCGGAAAAGCACATTTCTATAATACAATATGTATTCAGAGCGCAACTACAAAACTATTCTGTTTACCTGAGCCTGATAGGTATTCGCCAATCAAAAAAGTAAACTAGCAGTAATATTTGTAAAAAGTAAAACAAAATAATATACAGCTTCATCAAAAGGTAGATGGCTTGTAATTCACAGGCATATTCATATTACTTGCCAATGCGTCGACTGTTGTCATGGTAACGTGGTCATGTTACAGCTGACATGCAGGAGACGTCGCGTCTACCACCAGCATAGCTTTCCTCTCTTCCAGTAATTAGTCTCTTAAACTAATTTATCTTCATATTCTGTTCAACATATTATTCTGTTTTGTAATTACTTTCTATTGAGATACAACAGTCGCGTATGGAAGATGAGTGGAAAAATCAGTTTTTTGTTAGTTTTTGAACTCAGCTGTAGTACGTCAGACATCTTTATCGAATACGATATGTTATATTTATCTGTTCTCTAGTCCACCCTTCAAGGAACTTTAAAAAATAGAATTAATTCGATCGTACATTGGGAATCTACCATACGGCAATGGAATACGTTAGTGAAGCTGAAGCCCTTCACGTTGATAAAAAGTGAATAATTTTTAAATTTCCAAAAATTATAAAAAAAACCGATTTTCCTGATGACACTTAGGTCATCGTTGTTTTCTTGCTTTAGAAAATATCATTAACAAGCTATGGTTTTTTTAGAAAAAGGAACATTTGAACGATTAAAAGTGCATCCTCCTCACCTTACTCATTCGTAACTTACAGCATTCATCTGCAGGGGTTCGTCCCTCCCCTTGATGAAGATTACTCAGTCACGGACGAATATTATCAATCTCCCTGGTTTAACATCACAAAAACATGAAAAATTTTTGTAGAAATCTATCTGATACGTTTAATCGAAATAGCGCAGCAGGAATCCCACAACTTATTATAATTCACATATAGATAATACAATATCATGAGGGTAGAGAGGTGAAAGCTAGAGCACGTACCAGTATATTATGGAAAAAAAGGACTGTTCAGCGAGCAAATAAGTTGCTTTCAATCTATAGAAGACTGGATTTTCAGTTACTCATGAACAGTATGAACTATAACAGATTCTCTGAGAAAACTTGAGGTTATATCGCATGACTGAGGAATGGTGAACTTCAATTAGATATATGCTAATCATGTAATTCATAGCGGAGGTTCTTTCACAGGAACTTTCCTATTTGACGCTAAATCAGAATTTTTCGCAAGCTCATTGTCGTCTTTGAAAAGAGAAGTATTATATATGGTAAATTGGGATATCTTACCTTTCTTAATGAGCAGCTCAACTTCCGCGGAATGTTCAGTTTCTACCCCTTCAACAAAGCCAGCAACTTTGATAAAATACCTGAATGATATGACAAGTTTAGTTTGAAAAAAGAAGTTATCCAACTTAGAGTCAAGCTCAGTCTTCGGCCAAGGAATGCTTATTGTCTTATCGAAAGAGCTAACGTTGAACACTTGAACTTTTTGTGGCATAGTCACATCGACTTTGCGAATATATATAATCAAATCCTGATAACAAATTATGTTGATTAGGCATCTTGATGGAAACAAACCTTGAAATTATGATTTACAGGGAAATGAATAGAAAGAGAGCCATTGCTTAGGATCGCTGAGATATTCGTAGGCGTCGCTACAATCGTAGACAGAAGGTATGGCTGAAGATCTCATAGAATAGCTGTATATCACAATGAACTACCTCTGATAGCGGTCCCTCAGCTATATCATTTCGGGCAGATATTGCTAATTCGTAGTTCAGACCTTCTTCCAATCCTTCAATGAGGTGTTCAGTAATATGTCCATCAACCTGAATAATCACGTTCGATAAGCGGTAGCCGACAATCGTTTACAAACCTCGAACACTTTTGCTTCTTCTTCATGTTCTTTTTTCGACAAATGTATCTTATACATCTAAAAGTGATACTGTAAGAACGTGTTGAAACTCACATTAGTGTACCTGTATAGGACCTAAAGGAAATCTGGGAGCTGCCCAAGATAGTTTCACACTTCTCTCTTCCAACGCAACTGATACAATTTTAGGAGAATCACGCGGTCCTACATGGTCAACGATAAGTATACAAAACGAATAGAAACTAACCGCCATTTGGTGTGTTGACTATGATGGCTTCACTCTTCTCTCCTTCTCCCCACTCGTTAATCGCAGAGATTTTTAGAACAAGTTGCACGTTCAGAGGAATCTCATCCTAAACTCGGCAGATAATGATAAAGCTTACTTACAGCTTACAGCTGAACCAACCTTAGCCCATAGAACTGGAGGACCAGGAACAACCACGTCTGATTGCGAAAGATACAAATGATAACTCTGAATTGTCACTTTAAACTGAAAGCTACTCGCAACTTACAACATTCCCATTAGGATAAAGACATTTGTCCCATTCTATAAACAGTCTGCCTTCCTCTGTAAACTCCCACTTGATATTCGAAGGAGCATCACCAGGTTCTTAAACAAATGAATTATACCACAAGGCTAACTTATCACATACTTCTGACAACTACAGTTGCGTTGGCATCAACAGTTTCGAACTTATTGAATGCTCGGCAGTGAACTGTACGATTAGAAACGGTTGTCATTTCAAACGTTCCAGAGAACTAAAACTCAACTCAAAGAGAATTAAACAGATGAATTGATACCTCTTCTCCATCCACCTCTAAGTATTCATCACTTATAGCTGTCTCTTCTAAGTCATCCCAGTAATATGATAGCTTAGGAGTAGGTGAACCCTGTAAAATCTATCTGAGTAAATGTTATCCTGAATGACAAACCGTTCCAGAACATTTCATTTCTATCGTCTCTTTGGGCTCAACCACAAACGGATCTTCTAAGCTGGTAGGTGCAGAAGTGAGAACTATCGGTACATCTAGAATCATCAAATCTTGTTATTCATATAGTGAAAACAGACATTTTTCATCAGAAATGCATTGCAAAGATTCTGATATTATCCCAGCTCCATTGACAGATACTGCTTGTAGCCTTATATAATGATTCACAGATGGTGAAACAACAGGCAAATCAAAGTTTGTTTGATTGCCTTCAACTTCATTCTTACGCCATTCATTAAGATCTTCAGTAGCATGTAAAGAGTCATAGATCAAATATTTCTATAAAAGTCAGTTGAAAGATTAAAATCTAACGGTCATTGGTTCTTACTGTGACGTCTCCGTTAGGAAGTTTTGGTGGGAGCCATGTTATATTAATGTAATTCTTTTGTGATGAGACGGTTATATTGCAGGGAGGACTTCCAGGACCTGAAATTATCACTTTTCAACTCATAAGGAGATGAAGAACAACCTTGGATATGAATATCAATGGTTTTGCTAGCATTTCCCTCTGCATTGCTGGCATAGCATTCCAAATGCCCTCTCTCGCTTAGAGTAGAACGAGTTAAGTGAGATCTGAATAGAAAGTAGAGAAGACAGTTCCAAAACTCAATCTTACACTGTTGTCTTTTCGGTATAATTGCAATCAATGGTCCAACCATTAACACCATTTTTGATATCATAACTATCATTCCATCGCCAAGTTATGTTAGGTGCAGGTGTTCCTTCAGCTTTACAGAACACTGTCAGCTTCTCTGCTAGGTTAGGTTCAGCAATGATTGTGGTGCCTTCTAAGATGTCAGCCTTTGTTTTGAGCTCTGAAAACTGGTTAATCAATTCATTTGAGATAACAAAGTCCTACTTCCACGTCCAGTGCGAACATATATTGGCTTTGAAGCCTGAACCAATCGTGATGGATTATCCAATTGAACAGTAATTCGAATCCAATACATTGTGTTGGGTAGTAGATGATGACCATCAAGTGAAAGTGACACCTACCAAATAGAGAATATACTCATGTACAGAAAATTCAAAGCCATACGGTCATATGTACATCATCGACTGTTTTTGTATCGACATGAGTGATTTGCCATTTACCAGGCACTATCTGTTCACTCTCCAACATTTCAACTTTATAATTCTGGAAAAATAAGATTTTGGATGGTCTTTGAGATAATCCTTACTTGAATAGCCGTTGTATGATCATCTGGATCTCTCACAGCTGGGAAAGTTATGTGTAGTGTGTTATCTTCTTCTACTGTTGCAACGACATCGGTTGGGATAGGAAGAGCTGAATGGTATAACAATAAAATCATACAAAAGTATCAAGTACATGATAGGGCAGTTTCAAATTCAACTGTAACGCTGACAGGCCCTTCGGCAACATCATTTTTCGCTGCTACTCTGACGCGGTAGAAAGTTTTGGGCTTCAGTCCCAAGTGATAATCCATTTTTAATCTGGAAAGTTTTATCTAACCAAAAACAGAGAGAAATGTTACCTATGAACATCTCCAGGAACATCAACTGTTTGCCATTCTCTGTAATCATCATTGGATTGTCCCAGATCTCTTGTGAAGTATATCGAGAAAGCCTGAACATCTATCAAGTAGACAAGCGGAGTTTACGTTTTTACCAAAACAGGAGTTGTACAGTTAGGTGGAGACCACGTAAGTACAGCTGTGTTCGCTTCATCGATCTCGACTTTTACATCACTAGGCATTGCTTCAGGACCTAATGATCATGATTAGATCGCATAGTGTAAACTTAGTACCTCCGTTTGGAGTTACGAAAGATACCGGTGGAGACAAGGGGCCACGGCCAGCTTCATTCAGAGCGCGTACTCGGATTTGATACATTGTTGATGGCTTTAAATCTTTGCTGGCTATTGAAAGACTAAATGAAATGTGTAAAAACAATATGGATGGAACTACCGTTTGATGGGTAAACCAGCTCTATTCGTTGCTTGATACATTACAGGTTCTTCATCATTTTCAACAGTCGAATCGATCAGGAAGACTTCATACTCCTGAACTAAACATAATCAAGCTATCTTCAACTGATGCTTACGTCTATCCCCTTGTTAGGATATAACGGCTCCTCCCAAACTACAACAATATCTTTCGAGTCGATTGAAAGAATCTGTAGATTTCTAGGACAGTCTCCAGGCTCTGCATCGGAAGGTTGAATGCTAATATCTCCGCTAACTTACTGTCAACAATGAAATGAACTGATGAGGAATTCACACCAGCTGAATTCTTAGCACGACAATGCAGATATTTGGAGGAAATCAAAGAAACATCAATACTGGCCATCACTTGATCAGCAACAACTCCATACTTCAGTGGATACCATACGTCATCCTAAATTAACTATTATAATTTTATACTAGTGAACAGGAAACCTCAATCTTCAAAGGGTTCTCTTGATCTGATAAAGCAAACTGAAGTGTTGGCCTGGGGAATCCTTTGGCAAAGCATGAAACAGTTATCTGAAATACTCAAAGTTAGAAAAACTGATACAGCTAGAGAATGATGGAACTAACGTTTTGGCCTGGTTCTAATTGATGAGGATTCTTTATGGAGAGAGAAACAGCTATTGGTACTGCTGAAATACACTACACATGCCATGAATTGCTATTAAACGTTACTGTCACTCTCTATTGCTACAACGTCAGAGATAATACCGGGCCCTAAGTCTGAAGCGGCTTGAACGCGAACATAAAATGCGTCACTTCCATCAGAAAAAATTCTGAAAACAGTGAAGGTTTCAGATTTCGACAGAAAACATACTTCACTTTCCGTTCAGTACCATCAAGATCAATCTTGTGCCAGTCCGATAGGGGTTCATCCTTATTCAGTGAGTGATATACAACGTACTTCTTAATTGAGAATAATAAACATAGGAATGAACACACTACCTTTATCTCTCCATTAGGATGTGATGGTGGCTGCCAGCTGACAGTATAAGAACCTTTATCCACAGATAATATGATTGAGGAAGGTGGACTACCAGGTCCACGAATCTTTATATCTACACTCTTCTCAACAGAACCAGCCGAGTTACTAGCGATACAAGTTAAAGTGTCTGATCTTGTTCTTAATGTCAGAAATAAAAAATCGTCTGATTAAAAGATAACACCTAGACTTTGCAAGAATGACAGATGTAGTTTTCAAACCATGTACAACAGAAGTAACTGTGTAGAATGAATGGTCCAAATGCAATGATTCTCCTGTTGAGATAAATCAGGATTCTTCATAAACATGAAAATTCACGAACCATTAACAGTCCACTGGATGCTGGGGGGCGTTGGAGCAGACTTAGAAGTACAAGATGCTTTAGCTGATGTTGAGATGTCTGGATCTAGCTCCAGCACTGGCATAGGAGACAGTTCAATAGAAGGTAATTCAGCTGAACGAGGAAGAACATACTAATTTGTGAGGATTAACTTGTCAAACCACTGTCTTCTGTACTAAAGTGAATTTCTCTAGACGGTGTACCTTGAACGGCTTCACCTGTAGCAAACAAACGAGCAGCATAAGTACGATTACTAGATAGGCCTAAACAATATTTTCAGAGCAGTTGAACGATAAGCTACATACCCTCTAGTAAAAATCGACTGTTGTTATCAGATATGAAGAATATCTCTTGCCAATCAGCTTCATTCAGTTCTCTGTATTGTAGAGTGTAGTTCTGAAAGAAGAGTCACATGTTCTACACAATCCGTTCTCAAGTAACCGTCACAAGTGGTACATCTTCCGCCGGAACAAATTGTATGATAACACTACTGTTTATTAGAACGTTCGAAGACTTTATCACCGGAGCTTTATACGCTAAACAATTTTATTGATGAGAATTGTTGAAGAAAATCCAGCACCTGCTGCTTTAGTGTTCAACTGGACTATTTCAGATGGTTTACCCTCAACCTCATTGATGAACACTGTTGCCATCAAACGATAAAGAGTATTCGGACGTATACCGTACTCTTGCTCTAGAAAAAGCTTTCATTTGAATAGTCATTGAAAAAATTGTTACTTCGTATCCTGAAGTCCAACTTCGAGTACGGATGTAGAACTTCAATATGCTTCCAACCTCGTTTATAGTCCTCTGTAGGTAAAGAACCATCATCGGTAAAGTATATGCTATATCCCTGAAAAGGATTCAAGCAATGAATCAACATGATTTTAATCTAACAGTAATTGATCCTTGAGGTTCATTTTCAATGAAGTTTTGGAGTGTCAGATTAACATAAAGTGTAAGTGAACTGTCCACCGACGCGTTCAACGAAACGTAGGCGTCATCTGAAGTAATTAAATTGATTGTGTTGTCAAATAAAAAACAGAGGAGAGATGAACAACCGCATTAGCATGAAAACATTTTCTAATTAACAAAACTCCACGTCTACACGTGTAAACAGCAAACACATTATGCTAATTGCTCTTCTTCCTCTGTGGAACATAAAAATAGATTTGTATGTTGAACATCAAAAGAAACAATTCAAAACGTTGCTTCTCAAATGATTATCCATTAGAGAGATTTGGACATGACGACAACTGTCTTGATGATTTCGTAAGTGCTTTTGCTTTTTTCTTTCAGTAGATGACCTTTAGTCAAAAGTATACATTTGACTGATTTATCACTAATAAATAGAAGACTAGAAAACATCAAGCTGATGTGATAACAAGCAGAAGTAGAAGAGGAACATGAAGAACATGAAGAAGAGGAAGAAGCTCGTTTTATATGTTAACGATTGAATGAGGAAAAACATGAAGACATGGTCAGTGCAAATGTCGAACTCACTTGAATTGCATTTAATCCTAGGTAAGAACAGTATCCGAAGAAGTAGGAAAAGCAGCATTCGAAGCATTCTGGAATTGCTCATTCCGTTTCAAAAAGTTGAAAATGAGAAAATGAGAAGAATATGAAAACAGTTTGAGATAAGTTGTATTACACAGTTCAACTTTTTATAAAATGTCAAACGATACATGTCACCGGCAAGATATTGAGACGCTTATTTCTAGAATGCTCACAAGTTAAAAAAAATACAAAGAAAAATGACAGAAGTGTTAATGATAGATGAAGAGAGGTAAAATAAAAGAGAAAAAGAGAAAGAAGTGAGAGGAAGAGAGAGAGAGAGAGAGTAAGAGTGAGGGAAAATGAGCTGCAAAAATGTCTAAAGGCAAGATGAGAAGGGGGACAAAAAATTGTATAAGTGACAAAGCCCACAAGAGCTCAGAAACTCAACTATCGTCCTCTGTTATAATGACTTCTCGTCCTCGTCTTTATCCAGGCAACTCCGTTTTACTTTCTATTCACATTCTCTTGTCATCTTCTCATACTCTCTTCTTTCCGTTTCTCTAATATCTCAGGCAAGCATATGTCTATGACTCAGGTGACCAAATGAGTTATTACCCTTCCAAACTTTTAGCCTCCTCCACAACGTTGTCTGCTGTCTTCATACCACTATATCAATCTCAGGCTTTTCTTTTGCTATAACATCTCAACCTCGCTCTAAACATCTTTCAGATACCAACAGTCTTGTTGTTGAGGTTTTTCATATTTCAAATACCATTCAAGTACTTCAAAAACGTTTAAGAGTTTAATAAATGATCAATGTTCAATACAATATTCATAGAGAGAGAGAACTATAATCAGATGTTGATTATGGAATTTCCAAGGTTACGTTGCTCAAACAATGCACAGCAAGTGAGTGAGGAGAGAGAGTAAGAGAATAAGGAAGCTTACAAAGAAAGCGATATGTATGTTAAAACAAAAAAAAATGAACGGCTCATCTTGCGCTATAAGATTGTCACAAAGTTGTCTGACATTTGGACAATGAAAGAAGAACTCAGCTGATTTACAGCTGTTTTCCTTACTCACGTCGTTTAGTCAGCTGGGAATATGTGAGACAAAGCAGCAAAAATCTGACGTCAGATGACGAATGTTTCGACAGGAAAGATAATAACCCTTAGGATAAAATAAAATTCTTCGGCAGTTTGTCTTCAAAACCATGTTTTCAAGAGGAAATTGATCTCAAGATCTATCTGTGAATGGAAGAAAAGCAAAAATGAAATTAAAATTCTTTATTAAAAGCTATTATTAGTTCATTGCATTTTACATTTTGATAACATTCGGAAGGATTAGTATGTTTAAAGTTCAGAATTTATTGCTTGTGGCGACGAAGTAAGAAAGCCGCTAATCTACGGAAGTCATTACTTGATGCCTGAAATACATTAATGAGCTACAGTAAGATTGAGTATGCTTGCCTTGTTCAATTTATCAACAATTCCTCGAGGTGGTTTCATTGCTGGAGGCCCAACTCGTTTTGATGGTCGCAAGAAATGTGGCTTCCTAGTCGGGATTGCGGGAGGAACTGGACCGCTATACAAAGTTTATTTTATTGCAAATATCCAAACAATTACATACCGTGTTCTCTTTCTGTTCGGCTTCAACAAGTGCGTTGAAGGCACCACTGGAACTCTTTGGAGCAAAGATGGTCGGATGCGTTGTCGACGATGAATAACTGTGTTTTGGCTAGCTTAAATAAAGATCATTATAAAAAAATTTGAATAAAACAATATCGAATGCATGATCAATCTATGCGCACAACCGCGTCTCTGAGAAGAAAAAGCGAAAATGAAGACTGAATCGTGGTTATGCTAATTTCATTTAGAAGAAAATATAGTAAAACTAACAGAATGAAGGTGGAATAGCATGTCTAACCCGTAAACTTGAACGAAAGCTGCAAGAAGAGAATAAACACGTTTTTGATTACTCTATTCATACCTTCTACGAGGCAGATGAGATCGTACTGTTTCAGCTGAAACAGCTTGAATAAGTACTACAAGCAGAGTCAGAACGATTAGTCTCATTCTCAGACGTCGGATATATTCTGAAAAATCTAAAATGTAAAGATGTAACAGGTGATGTATGTATGTCCATTAGATGAAGACGAGAAATGCATCTACTGTTTCTGGCATTATAAAGGTCATTCAATTGATAAAAACTCTTTGCGATCAAAGTAAAACCATTTCATTTTATACAAAAAGTAATTCTTCAATCATACAAACACATCCTTTCATCGTATAAAGAGGTTATTTCAATGACTATTACTACTTGATGATGAAATGATTTTCATTCAGGTAGTAGTAGTTCACATGACAGCATCATCCACACAAAAACTATGTTTTAGATTTTTCATCCAAAATATTCCAAAACATATACTTTCAGAAACATATTGGAGGAGGAGGAAGAGGAGACGAAGAACAATATGAAATTCCAAAAACCCTCTAATGTTATACAAATGCCTTTTCCAGAATCAAAATATAAACATTAATATATAAAAGTTCTTGACCTCAATGTCGTCAAAAGAAAAAAAAATGTAATTGTAGGAGCTGTGGTGGTATGTGGTGGTGGTGACCTATGGAAATGTTGTTTTCATTTCAATTACTGACCTTCGGTCTAAAAAAAATTTTTTTCATCTTTCTTTAAAAGTTGCAAAAACGAAATGACTTCAATTTGTATGCTAAATAGAAATTTAAGCTGATGTATTCGTGTGTCAAACCATACTCCGGGATTATGAGATTAAACTGTCAATTAATGGAAGCTATGATAACTTTGCCTTCAGCGTTCGAGACTATAGGATCAACTAGACAGATAACAGGCTGATGATAATTTCCTTGAGAAAACATATTTCATAGTCAGCATGTGAAATGAAGAACATCGAAAATGGAACAACTGATGTTTTGCAACTCTTGGTTAACTATGGAGAGGACTCATGAAAGTTAAAATGAATTCGTCACTCGTACTCAAGCCATGGATCAAGAAGAGACTATCAAGCAATTGGAGAAGAGAGAGCGAGAAGTTGAACGAATGAAAGATGCATTTCTTACATAACACAATTTTGGGCATAAAATATAATGAAACGTCTTACTATCGGCTTCAACTGAAGGACTGAAAGATTCCTCAACCACTATTATCTTCCATATCCTCAGACAGGATATTTCATTGTTTTGTTCAGATAAGAAGACTTAGAAGCCGGGATTACAATCTGATTTGAAAGACATAGCCATTTTCATCTTTCTATCAAATTCATCATCACACAAGAGCTTATTTAAATCTATGTGTTCTCGTTCCACAGCTTCAACATGAAACTCTTTGACGATTTAGGGTCATTAGGTCGACGACTAGTTAACATCTTGTTGGCTTGAAGCAGACAGCCACCACGGCTAAAATCTTCAAAGAAACGTGCTTTGATTCATCTTCTCATGTTTCAAGATCCATGATCATCAACTAAGAAGAATAACAAAACGTTATCGGGAAAGAGAACAGTCTCATTAACTGGTAATCACGCTCGTTCGTAAAACTTTATATGTTTCAGTCCAATTACTCTGATGCATGAAAAACTTTATTGATACTTCAAAATTAAAAGAAACAAGTTAATAAATAGTTTAAAACTTTCCAATTTCCCTAATTGCACATTATGATCACAGTAGGAATGTTCTATGAAAATAGTAAACAATGTTGACAAAAACTAAAAATATATATTAGAAGATGAGCGTGTGCCCAAAAACTAGACAATATATGATTAATGTGGATGATATGGATGGCTACAACTACCGAATAAGGCTTACAGAAGTCCAAAGATCAACCCATATTTGTAGCTTCAATGAGAAATCCACACTTTTCTCGATCAATGGCTCATTTTCTTGCTGTTTCATAATTATCAACGAACCATTGAACACTCTCCTTAATAGCTTGTTCGAAGGGGGTGAACTTAAAATCTGGTAAATATTTGCGAAGTTTCGCATTGGAAGCCGTTTTCTTGTATTGTCCATCAGCTTTTGTGGTGTCATAGATAACTTCTCCCTGAAATGATGCGTGTTTCTTGGGTTTCTCTTATTATTCGACCTTAAAGTCAATAGCTTTGACTACAGCATTAACGGCGTCAGCAATAGACACTTCATCTTCCTCTCCAACAGACAAGATGATTGGATCAACTTCCTTACAAAATAATGATTGTAGCAAATAAGTAAAGCAAACGAAATTATTGTACTCTATTCAGACTCACCTCGTAATGACGGATGACCCAGACAAACAGACGAGCAAGATCGAGAGAATAAATAAATTGGCGCAAAGGTCTTCCAGTACCGAAAACCTGAACACAAGAAGTGCACAAATTGCTATAAAATTGTACCTGAAGAGGTTTTCCTTCCTTCTTGGCAACGTACGCCTTATGAATCAAAGCAGGAAGTACGTGCCCAGCTTGAAGGTTGTAGTTGTCGAAAGGTCCAAACACATTGCATGGAACAACAGAAGTATAACTGAATCATGAATCCAGTTATTTTGATTTATCGACTACAAGTATACCGTCTTCCATGTTCTTGAGCATATCCCTTGTTGAGAACATCAATCATGCGTTTGGCATAAGCATAACCGAAGTTAGAATCATGAGGTGGTCCCAAATGAACCTGAACTACACCGTTAGAGGAGAACTCTTGGGTAATGAACCATATCCTCATCGATCGGATAAGTTGTCTTATCCGGGAAGATACAAGTGGATAAGCATGAGACGCACTTTTCAACGTTGAACTCATGCGAAATGGCTAAGATGTTATCGTTGATGTCCTAAAATCGTAAGCTTTAAGCATTCTATCCCCTATCGATCTGTTTACCATATTTTTACGGAAAAACTGTAAATTATGCGCTAAGTTATGGAAAAGACCTCCAACCATAGCAGCGAGATGTATTACATGAGTAGGCTTTACACGTTCAAACAAGGCTCTGTAATGAGGGCAAAGTAACGAGGAAACTCGTACGAAAATAGAAATTGATGAGGCTAATGATCGGATAGTATTATGATGGGAATTATAATTTAGTGATATAACATGCAGACAATAGAACGAAGCTGACATTTGCAATTTGATATGCTCGATTGAGCAGACATACCTTGTGGCTGCGAGATCAGTTAAATCGCAATCAGCACTTCCAATGAAGACCCATTGTTCATTCTTTTTTTTCTCTTCAGTTGATACAATCTTAAGTTCTGGTCTTGAAAATATTGAAATGGTTGGAGAACAAACTCTTTGGATAGCTTTTCCAACAAGGCCCGTTCCTCCGGTAACCAAAACAATTTTTTGTTTGTCATTGAAATTCTCACTCATTTCTTCAACGCTAGCAGTACTTTGCTCGGCACCTGAAAAAATAAAAAAATGGCCGATGAAAAGCAATCATGCGCGCTACAGACAAATCCTATTGCGAGGATATGTCTGTTTCGTTGGAAAGACCATCACCATGAAATACCATGTAAGAGTTAAGGAAAAGTTTGAAGCATGTTAGAGGATTAGTAGGTAAGAACTTACCCATTTCGAGAGGATATGAATATAGCGAGGAAATGAATAAGGAATACAGAAAAGAAGTTAAGAAGATGACGCAAACTGGCTTAGATTGCTATCTTCGAAAAGAGGATTGGAATTCAACTTTGGTGGAGGAGGATAGAGGGAAACACAAGAGGAAATATCGCCTAACCTACCGAATATAGAAGAGACTTAAGAGAACGAGGATGATCAATGAAATGACGATGAAAACGATTAAAGCGAAATATGGACGCGTGGCGAATATATGCCACGTTACCTTTATGGCTATCAACTATGTAAACACGATGTCAGGCATTATGGAATTCCCTGCTTTTACCTTAGTGACTGAACAAATTTAATACAAAGTTCTTTAATAGACAACGAAAAGCTTACGAAAAAAGTAAGATGCTAATCACATTTGTAAGTGGAGAGGCTACAATTGCGTATTTGTGTTCTCAATTGAAACTTATCAACCGCTGGATGAAAAGCACACGTGCAGCTCATATGGACGACTAAGATTATTTTATACGTTGTAAATGAGAAAGAAGAACGGAATAGGTAGAGATAAAATTACAGTTAGATTTTGATGTTCATGGACAATCACTGGGCCTTTTCTCTGCGTGTTTCTTCGTGTACTCTTCTGCCATCTTAAAGAACTTCTTTGGATCTTTTGTATATTCTTCAGCCAAGTCAGCTCTGAGAGCATGCTCTGGTTCAGGTTCTTGAATCAAACCCAAGATTGCCATCAACACTTAAAAGGCGCGTTGAACATATTACTAAAGCTATTCCATTCACGAACCTTGCTCCGTACGAGTAGCAGGTTTCCAATTCTCAGGCGTGATTATAGATAAACAGAACTGAAATGCATAATGAGCAGTCTGATATGATAATTGGAGGTTATACTTTGCCGAACTCATCAATATTAGGATGATAAATCTTAGTAGCGAAAAGAATTTTCGGAGGCTTGAATGGATAATCAGCAGGAAAATCAATGTTGATTTTGAAGGCACCTTTGTTATATGGCTCTTTCTCCTTTAAAACGTTTAGCTTATTTAGCATAACAAAACGAAAATCAATGAACATACTGGAACAAGCAGAATTGTCCAATGCAATAGACAGCTTTCGTCATATTCTACATGATCATAAGCTTTTATTCCACATGACTTGATATCACTAAGTTCCTGTAAACGAAGCGTTATAAAGTACACAACGCTGTTGTTACCTTTTGTAATCTTCTTGTAGCCATGACTCGCAAGATTCTATACCCTTTTCTGAAAGAAATGTTAAGTAGTCGAGGTAGCAATATGATTATTATATTAAACGCAAAGCTGAATAACAAATAAATTCGTAAAAGGTTTATCAGTATCGACTTTTTTCAAGTAGTCTTTACGCCGATGTTGAAGGAAAGATAACGGAAGATTAAGTTTGATGAGCTCGATTACCATATAAGAGATTCAGTTATGAACAGGAAATAATGTTCGAAACTTTGAGCAGAATTCAAAAAGGAAATGGATTTGAAAAAACGAGCGAAAAGCAACCAACACCTACTACTCAGAACGAGAAAGGGGGGAAACCAAAACTGCCGTGCGGTGGAAAATGGAAGTGTGAACGGTAATTGCGCGCGAACTTAAAGAAATGAATACTTGTATAATTATAATAGTTAAATAGATTCAGCTTAATTTGTAGTATTTAAATTTTATAGAAAGATGTCGGTAGACTTCGATGTGCTGGAGGAAAATATGAGTGCATATGGAGTTAATTTCTCTTCTAATGACAATGTTCTAACAGCAAAGAGTAATGCTTTTCGAACGATGATCTGACTCATCAAGATTATTTCAGTCTCACTAATTGCAAAACAATTCAATTTATATGGAGAAGAATTGGAAGATGAAATCATGGCATTCGCTAATAATCTTAAAAAGACTCAAGTTGACAAAGCTTTGTTGGAAGCTGTAGAAATGGTAATAGCAACTCAGTTACAGTCAGTCGACATGAAACTTTTTCAGAAACTGCAAAAAAGACTGGATAATGATTTGAAAACACAAAAGATTAAGAGGTGATTCATAAGAGGATGAGGGTGTTACTTCCATTTTCAGACCAGTGCTAGCAGAGAAATTGCAATCTTCCTTCAAAGCTGAACCACCTGTTGTTGAAACAGATGATTTCGATGTAGAAGATGACAAAAATGGAGTAATGAGCGATATTTATGCACAGTTCGCTCCTGTAAAGTATTACACAACGTTGAAAGAAGTTATGAATTGGCTTCGATTTCAGATCTGTACCAAACACAAAATACTTATCTCGCCTCAATAAGGGAACCGTCGCTAGTCAATTAAAAGGATCTCAGTTCGAAACAAAGAAAAACCCTTCTCCTACACATTCACAGGTATCACTAGATTCAGAGATTTCAATTTCTGTCTTTCTTCAGGTAACTGTTTTGTCGAATGCTGTAAGCGAGAATTATGCAGGTGAAAAAACAGCCAATGTGATCGACGGTTTGTCCTTCCATTCTTGCAATGAGTACAACTGTTTTTAGAAATATGCGAACGCATGAAACAATTCGCGGATCTGTTCAGAAGCAATAATCCAGAAATAGGAAATTGGTCATATACTCCAGTTTCCGACTCAGAAGTGTACATATATGGAGTCATTGTGAACGATGGAGATGATACCGACTCTCTACACGTGAACAATGCAAAGATCATGTTGGACGACGAAAATGGTAGTTCCTACACCTTAGACTTCCAACATCTTCCATCTGTTACCATCTTCCCTGGGCAGGTAGTCTCATTTCGACTAAGGTGATTTACTCATTTGTTCAAGATTGTTGCTTACCAAGGTTGCTTCGATGACGATAAACACACTTTTTTGGTGAAGAAAGACTTCCCACTCCCAAAACTGACTACACCTGATATAACTAAAACAGAAGCAGGTAAAGCTTCATTCAAATAACTCATTATCGTTTTTTTTAAAGATTATCTAACTATTTGGTCTGCGTGTGGACCATATACCAGTCCAGATACATGTGGATATGAACCTTTGTACGATCTTTTAGAAGCTGTAAGGAAAAACCCTCCTAACGTTCTAGTCTTGGTTTGTACTCCAAGTGTTTTCCATTCAAATCTACATTTCATAGATGGGGCCATTTGTTGACAGAAAGAGCAAGTATTTCACGAGTCCTACAGCTCAAGCTTCCTACTCGTCCGTTCAAGAAATTCTGATGATCAGAATCGCTCAGCTGTTAGATAGGTTATTATTACAATTATTCTCTTGGTTAAATAGCTCAATATAGGATTCCTACTCAAATTATAATCCAGCCTTCGCCAATGCGAGAAGGAGCTCACATTAATGGATTCCCTAGCTCGCCTTTGACCGTACCTCATGAGATGGTTCGTATTCTGGGTAAGAAATTGCATCTTGTGAGCGATCCAGCTGTTGTGGAAGTCGACGGAATAAAGATAGCTATAACAGGTTCAGAGGTATTATTTGAACTCATTTCCAGTAGAGTAATCCATCCTATTTAGATCATAGCGCATTTGAGTAAGTTGGAAACTCACCGATCTGCTGATCAAGAGAATATTGATAGGATAGCAAGACTATCCAATCATATTCTAGGGTAAGTTACTTGATACAGTGAAAGAGCATTGTGGGTCGTTATAGGCAGCGTTCTCTTTATCCACTCTCCCCGCCAACATTAGCGACGTCGATTGAAGATGTCCTTACTGTTTGTAAATTAACGTATGCTCCTCATATGATCATTGCTCCATCTGTTTTACCTTCACTTTTTAAGGTTAGTTCATTAGGTATTTTTTTCCTTATTAACTGCAATCAGAACATCGACGGAGTATTAGTTAACAATCCTGGAACTTATCTTCGTGGTAGCACTGGTACTTTCTCTAAAGTAGATATTAATCTTGCTGCTGCGAAAGGTTGCAACTCCATAGTTGATCACTCACATGGACGTATTGAAAGGGTATAATCGATCTGTGAAATGCAAAAATAAAGTATTTGATAATGTCAAAAAGAACCACAGAATGAATGAGACAATGCTTTATTATTTCATAACCAATAACATGGAGATCCTACAACAGAACAACAAAGATTACCAATTTTCATAGAGGAATAACTGTTTATCGAGACGATTAGTTGACAAGGAATAAATATTAACAGCTTTAAGATCTGCTGCGACGTCTTCTGGGTGAACGGGATCTCGAACGATTAAATCTGCCGCCACCACTAGCAGAAGCAGTTGGAGCAGTACCGCTTTGGCCGAGAGGAATTTCATTAGCTCCAGTTCCACGACGAGGTGGAGAACGACGACGAGGAGGGCTAGAAACACAATTTTAAACAAAGAACATTTACCAGTTTTTACCTTCTGCGGGGGCTTTTCCTGATGGGTGATCGCCGTGGGGATCGACGAGGTGGTGAACGGCGCTGTGGTCCACCATATCTTTGAGTGATCTCAACACTGACTAGCTGACCATCGATCTGACCGCCATCCATATGTTTCACAGCCTGAACAATACCAAGTAAAACGAAAATTCAATAAGTATTACCTTCTCAGCATCTTCGATCTGCTCATACTCTAAATAAGAATAACCTCTGTGTAAGTGGTTATGAGCACGATCCATAGGAAGATCGCAAAATTTGATAGTTCCGTACATTCCGAAAATCTCAGTAATGTGCTCCTATAATCAAGCAATATTAACAAGAACACAAATTGGAACCTTACCTTAGTTACATTTCTACTCAAATTTCTGATGCACACACGTTTGGGAGGACTAGATCTACGAGGAGATCTTCTTGGAGATCTAGAAATACACTAAGTCTTTTGTTTTTTTTTTAAATTCTGAAAACCTTCTAGGAGATCGTCTTGGAGAACGAGAGCGTCTACGATCGCGACTACGACTGCCACTTCTATCCCGTCTTCTTGGAGAAGGCGAACGGCGTCTTCGAGGTGATGAACGGAAAGTACGATCTGTTATTTGAAAAATAATAATTAACTAGAACAAAATGCTTACCTCGGTCAGAACGGACACCACCTCTATTTCCTCTACGAGGAGATGAGGATACACTGCGACTGCGGGCTCTAACACCACCCTGAAACATACTAGTATTACAACAGAAAAATATTTAGAATTCACCTTTCCGGATTCTCTTCTGTTTCTGGGACTTGGAGATCTTGAAGAGGATGAAGTGCTGCTGGTAGAACGACTGCTACCACTAAACGCACAGAGTTAAACTATATATATTCTAGATAAGATGACTACCTGCTACTAGTTCCGCTAGAAGATGAGCTGCTGGAAGCAGATCTCGATCTTCGAGATCTTCCCTCGTCTTTTTTCTTTTCTGCTTCTACCATCTGAAGAACAGAAGTAAGGAAAAATAAATTTGAAACGTTGTTTATGAACAAATGATGGAAAAAGAGCCCAACCAGCGGATAACGCTGGTCGATATACGAAAATGTGAGAAAATCGATTAAACATTTCTAAGGCACATATGCGTTGTATTTCACGGTTTGATAACCCCCGCTTGTAATTAGACTTATTCTCCAAATAATCAAGGATTCTATATAAAAATATCGATTTCAAAATCTATTAAAAGTTGCTTAGCATATTTTGAGTAACGAAATAAATCCAAAGCGGGAACATTAGGGTCTCGCAAGGATTGCCCTGCTGCGGAGAGTATGTGACAGTGGGTCAACAAACCTCTCTATTGTGAATCAGAGCCTTGTGGTTACGGTAGTCTTATAATTGAGGTTTGCTTTGAAGATTTCTCTTTTCTGATAAGACTGTCTTTCTTGTTTTCATGATCTTTATGTTTTATAATTATTTCATGTTTCAAATATATATGAACTACTCTATTCTGAATAACAAATGAAGAGCAATTACTGTTCAGATATCATGACACTCAATTTTCAATCTCACGGACCTGTAATTCAGGCAGCTTATAACCGTGTAGCTAACTCTAAAACTGGAGATGAATGGTATAATATCATTTAAACATTTAAAACAACTGTACAGATTAGATAAATTGATATAATAATAGCTTCACATCCCCAAACCACTAATCTTCCACCAAAAAAAAACGTTTTCAGGGCTATTTTTGATTATGAAGGAAATACGAATGTCATTAAAGTAGGAGATGAAGGAGGTCATTTTGCGAAGGTGAAACAAGATAGTAACTCATGCATTTAGATGGTGGACTAGAGGAGTTCTCCAATAGCTTTAATAGTGGAAGATTACAATATGGACTGATTAGTGTTAAATTGTGCGAAAAAGCTCTCTCAAAAATAGTGCTCGTTCATTGGCAAGGAGAAGGAGTCCCATCAGCAAGAGTAGCCTGTGCAACTTCTCATGTTAACGATGTTAGGAAGCATTTGAAAACTGTTCATACAGTAGTATATGCACGGAGCGAAATGGATGTTGAGTCTGATTCCATAAAGAGAGAAGTATCGAAGCTTCCTGCTTCTTATGCTGAAAGCAAAGTAGAAACCTCATACTCAACACCTACATCAGTGTCTTCTGTATATAAGCCGGTTAAACCACATGTAGATATAAATGTGAAGGAACGCGAGCAATTTTGGGACAAAATGAATGTTGAGGAAAAACGGTTTGACCTCTAGCAAACACCTGCCTCAAATGAAGCATAATTTAGAAGGCAGCAAGAGCAACAAAAAAAACATTTAGATGACGAGAAAAAATGGACAGAAGAGAGGAAACAACTTTCTGATGAAATCTCTCATAAATCTGATATTGCAATAACGTAAATTTTTGAAATACCACACATGGTTGAAAGTTCTTTTATAGTTCTGCTCCTGTGAAAAACCAGATTATACCTCCCTCAGTTCCGATCACATCTTCCCCAGTTCCTTCCAATGTACCATCTAAAAACTTAATATCAGGCAGAGTTGGAATGTTTCAAACTAAAGGTAATCAACCGCACATAGCATATCATGTTATTGAAATGAATTTGAGGTTGACCTCCGTGTCTCATTACCATAAATTCAGTCATTACGCAACTCAGTTTTCATGCTAATTTTTCAGAAGACGTGTCGGTACCGATGCCTAAACCAAATGTCACGGTTGCTTCGACTCCAAAAATCGAACAACTTTCACTCTACGATCAAGTTCCATCCCAGGAACAAATCAGCGTTGAGCCTGAAAGTAACCAAATTCAGAAAAAGTTGTAATTTATCCTTGTTCTCAGTAACCCCAACTGCTCCAATCCCGTCTGCCCCTTTTCCAAACCCTGTTCCAACTGTTTCTGTTGGCAACAATATCTCCCAGTACGATGTTCCACCTTCAACAGGACTTTGCGCTATTGCTCTCTGGGATTATCAAGCAGGTATAGAACCCTGATACTTCGAAATGCTGAAGCATTTAAACCATTCAGAAGATGCTACAGAAATCACCTTCGATCCCAATGACATAATTTCTGAAATTGAGCAGGTTCAATGAAGCTCTTATGCTTTGAAAACAGTTTACGTTTTGCAGATCGATGAAGGATGGTGGAAAGGAAAAGCTCCTAATGGATCGTTTGGTCTGTTTCCAGCCAATTATGTAAAAATTCTATAGATAATAAGATACAAAAGACCATATGACATATAAAAGATATCAGAGATTATATTTTTGCTTTAGAAACTCCAGTAGTCTTTTTAAATTGCTTTATTTCACTTTCGATACGGCGTGTGCCATTGTGATCAATTAACCCTTTCATTGGATACTCGTTGACTAATTCACTTATTCTTTGATATATGTTTGATTCAAGTGATACAGAAATATTCCTGAATAAATATTTTTTTCAAAGTCAAGTGAAAACGCAAAAACCTGCTGCTACTGACACGTTCAAAGAGTTGACACTTGAATTTTCTCTGAGTCTAGGAATCGTGACCAATTTTTCACACAAAGATCTCATTAACGGGGACATCCCTTCGCCCTCATCTCCTGTAACAAATTGTTCAAAGATCAAACATGTCTCTAATCGTGAGTGTCTGTTCTACCTAAGACCAAAGCTAATTTTTTCCCTTGGTCAGTTGTAAAGTTTCTTATATCAATGATCGGAACTTTTTCATTCGTACTGCCTGGTTCAACTGTACCGATCAGTGTGAAACCGCTAAGCTTCTGAATAAATTAGAAAATTTCATTGAAAATATCTTTTTGACCTCTCTCAGAACTTCATCATCCAGTTTGGAAACACTCATATGCTCCAGAGCTCCACTAGATGCTTTACTCATGACGGGAGTTATCAAATTAGGACTGAAAGCTAAACTTCTTCACATGTAAGCAAATGTTGCACACCAGCGACTTGATCGGAGGACCAATTGACTAATTCCAAAATAGAAAGCTGTTCGAGCTATAGCACCAATGTTTCCTGGATCTAAGACTCCATCCAGGAACAAAAGCTGTTGACACTCGTCATTGAAATCCGAGAAAGACATACTTGAAGCATCTATACAAACACCCTGTTAAGGTTAAAGTACACAAAAGATGCCCATAAAATCGAACAAACATTGTGAAGTTGGAAGTTTGTCTTACGATCAAATTGAGCTTGAGTTAACCTTCCTACGGGAATTTTTAATTCTTCTGCCAGGCTTAGAATTTTTGAAACTCTTCCATCCTCGAACCTTCTATCTCTGTAAAATCAACATACGCAACAGGTAGGCATGTTCGTTCGACTTTACTGATCGCTTTATATAAAGTTTGAAAATTTTTCTCCTGCCTGCTATTAAAGCTTCTAAAACAGGTGATGTTCCATATAAAGCTTCTCCCTTAAACCCAGGAACGATAACTTTCGACCTGAAAAGCAATGGTAAAATCCAATCACTTTCTCCTCACGATTTCAAGTCTTCTATGGATTTTCCTGAAACCTTAGCCTTTCGGAAGATTAAATTCGGTCCAGAATCAATTGAGGAAAACAATCTTTTTGTAAAACAATTCATGACTTCTAAAACAAACTGATGAATTAGGACAATGCTTAAGAGTAGTAAGACACATACATCCCATATCAAAAACAAGATGAAAACAAAAATCAAGATTCATCGAAGCAACAGCTAGCACAAAAATGAAGGGAAATCTTAACGTCTGAATTGCTTGATGCAAGCCAGAGCTTCACTGATTAATTTAGTAAGTTCTATCGATCTTCCAATATCATCGGTCTCATCCAAAGATTTTGCGGCCCACATAAGCTTACGATCCAGAGCAGAAAGGCTCATAACCTCACCAGATGACATCGGTTTTCCTGGGAGACTAGGCTGAATGAAACATATGACTCTGTTAGAAAAACAGTTTGTTGTGATAATCACCTGGTTTTGGCTCGGTTGAGATCGAGGAACAAAATTCTCAGACAAGGTAGAATTTGGATCTACAATTCGTAGGTGAGGTCCGCCTGAGTATGTGGGCTGATAATCTGAAAAGATAAGGAAGAGTTGTCATTTTAAAAAATTTACTTACATATTCTATCAGTGAACAACTGCGAAGCGTTGTGGATATGAGCAGCTTGGGCACTTGATTCACTATGAGGTTGAGAGTTTCTTGGATCAGGAAGATTA